GACATCGGGGGGGGGGGTACCGTACGTGACACAAGATATCATACCCTCTGGGCCGATTTTCAAAGCTTGATTTCACCACGGCAAAAAGAATGGAGGCGCCGAAAACGGCGGTGATGAAGCCGTCTCGTCGAGAGCTTTCCGAAAACGCGCCGTTTCATTTGTTCGTCGTGGAGAAATAGAGCTTCTTCGAAGATCAGTCTAGGGGTGTGTGGTATCTTGTGTCACCTGCGGTATAATAGTACTCGATGTATATGCATGCCGCAGTCGTTAGGTCATTGACCTCGCATCCCTACAAGGCCCTGGGGGAGCGAAATGCCGGCTTTTCGCCGGCCCAGGCTACAGCACGTTTGACAAGGATGAAGCAGGAAAGGGGTGGTGCTATGCGGGAATTATTGGCGTGGCGTTGTTCACCCAGGCGTAGGTGTAGGAAAGACTCGTGCTGGGGGTGGGTGGGTGGGTGGGAGGTCATGAACGGGCATGCCTTACTTGGGGTTCTGCTAATTTATGCCGGGACGGATCGAGCGTTCCGTTTTTTTTTCCCCGTAGAGACTACCGCCATATTCTTGTTGTTGTTGTCCGGCTGCTCCTGTATTCGGTTCTCTCGTGGGCAGCCGATTTCATGAACGCCCCTTTAAGCCTTGAAGCCCCAGCCGAGGGGTAGATTGAGATCTCGCGTTTGCTTGATCTTGAGGGCAGGTTTTTCATAGATGAGATCGTGTTCCGAGGGGGGGAGGGAAGTTGAAGCGCTGTTAAGAGTTTGGACTGCTAAGGAACGTGGGCACGAAGGTAGTTGGGGTGGCAATGTGATGATGATGGGGGATGCTGACTGTGGCGCTGTCGATGCTGACTTTCGCTACCCTGCTTCGCCCCAAGCAGTCGTCCGTTTGCTCGTCACATCCCGCCCCTAGTATGCCCATGCCCATCCGTCTTGTTGGTACCATCCTCACCCCATCCCCCCTTCCCCCCCAAAAAAAGAAGATGCTGGCGTTGCTTGGACGGTTTCGACTTGTGGTGGCGTCAACAACATCCTCGCTCACCCGCCCCCCCCCCCCCCCCCCGGAAAAACTGGATGGTAGT